AAATGTATTTCTAATGTCTAATTCTTATTTTATTTTTTTCCTCGCAGAGGTGGAAAGGAGACATGGACAAACTCCCACCTACAAGTTGCTCCATGCTTGAACTGGTACAAACCCTGGACTGTCAGAGCAAAAAGGACGACGAGGATCTGAGCGATTTCTTGGATCTGGATTTTATTCTCTCCAACACAACCGGATCAGACAGCACGGTGGAATACGTTGGCACAGCTGATCCCAACATGTACACAACAACCGGGAACTCCGTGCCGCAGTATCCCGCCGAGGACCACCGCTCTCCGCCTCCTCCCTACGGTGCCAGCCTCATGACGGAGCTGCTCCGCTCCGATGGACCTGCCGGCTACGGCGTAACGCGCAACCCCGGCGTTCAGGGGAGATTTTTCGTCAACACGACGCTGTTCCCCCGCCCGGACAACATCAAAATAGAGCCAGCCATGGACAGCTACGGCCCCGTTATGGGCATGGTCCCTCAGAGCTGCAGCAAGATCAAGCAAGAGGGCAACGTTTCGTGCATGATGTCCTTCGAGCAGCCCCGGGTGGCCATCTCCCCGCGGGCGGCCAGCAGCATGACTCCGCCGCTGAGCCCCGACGACCAGCAAGCCACGGACTGTCAGGCTCAGCTGTGCTTCCAGCAGAAATACCACACGGCGGCGTCCTTCCAGCACCACCCGCAGGCCCCGCAGATGCAGATGCCCTACCACGCTCCGCACCCCGGCTTCGGGATGTACGACGAGGGTCTCAGCCTGCAGCCCGCGGGCGCGCAGAGGGTGATGCTCACGCCGCCCTCGTCCCCGCTGGAGCTGCTGGAGTCCAAGCCCAAGAGAGGGAGGCGTACGTGGCCGCGGAAGCGCACGGCGACGCACACCTGCACGTTTGCCGGCTGCGGTAAAACCTATACCAAGAGCTCACACCTGAAGGCACATCTGCGAACTCACACTGGTACGTTTCCTCTCCCTCTCCTCCTCATCACTTTACAGCTTTTGTGCGCAAATTACGCACGATGATCCAAACATAAAACTCCTACTAATAGCACTCCTCTTGTTTTTCTTCCACGCAGGTGAGAAGCCATACCACTGCAGCTGGGAAGGCTGCGGGTGGAAGTTCGCCCGCTCCGACGAGCTGACCCGTCATTTCCGTAAACACACCGGACACAGACCCTTCCAGTGCCACCTGTGCGAGCGCGCCTTCTCCAGGTCTGACCATTTGGCGCTTCACATGAAGAGACACATGTGAAGGAGCTCAGCAGAGGACTTTGGGGTGTTCACAAAGGGGGGATTGTATTATTTTGTATTGTGATTCAGCTGTATTTTTTATTTAAAATGCTCTCCATGTGGCCAAATTCATTTTTTTTATATAAATACATATAAAATATTGAATTAAAACATTTTAGTGTATGTTTTTTTTTCTAATAATGTAGCTGGTACTACTTTGGTTGTATAAAGAAAGCTTTAGAAAAGCTTTGTTTGCTTAAGAGCAGGCAGACCAAGAAGGGGCTGGCCCTGTATATACTACTCTTCCTTGACAGAACTGGAACGCTGTGTTTGACACAAAAGTGCCTTTCTATGACTGTGCTACTGTAAAACTCTTTGTAACAGAACGACGTGGCCAAAAAATGTAAATGTTCTTGTTGACAGGGGTAAAATGCACATACAGTTGCCTAACAAGCGCAGAGACAATGTTTTATTTAAACTGCCTCATGTGTCTGAACTGCCTTTTTGACTTATTTTAATCCTATTTGGAATTTCTTTTCTTCTTCTCTGTGTGAAACTCTTGGATCCAGCCCCTCTGTACACTATCAGGGCTTGACGTCCTGTGCATTATTTTTTACTTAAATTTATATAAATAAGTACATGGATTTTATACTGTAAAAAAATGTGTATTTATTGTAAATATTAAAAAGAACAGATTTGAAAAAACCTAATAATTCTCTGACTGGTGAACTTAGTCATTTCAGATCCACCTTGCTCACTCGTTTTGATTAACCACATCCACCCACTCAATACGGTTTCACAACTGTGCTTGAAAATAGGCGCACCCAGCAGAGCTGCAGGTTACCCTGTCACCCACATAAGTAAATACACGGCTCGCCATAGAAGATGCTGACTTTTAAAACTGGAGGGCAACTCGATTTCCAGTGATGTTTTGCAGCTGCAAGACAGAGAAGGGTAGCCGCTTGTGGGCTTAGCCTATAAATACAAACACTCCATTTTCATAATTACAGAGTGAGGCCAGGAGCCGTCTGGACAGAGGGGCACAGCAAACCCTCATCAGGGAGCCCTTAGACTCCCTTTCAGATGGGTAGAAATTATAGTAGGACATCAAAGCGCCTTAATACTACAATTACACACAGTCGCTCTGCACTACAGTTTCAAAGTATCCAGGTCCAGGCTTCATATTATACATACGGTGTCAGTGAGCATTTGTATCTCCTGCATGAAGGCCTGCATTGAGAGCGTGTATCAAAGCCAGATGGCAGCTGTGAGAAGATAGATGACTGCGACTTTCAAAGCTTCTCCACCTGAAATTCAATGTAAGAAAAGCCCCAAAAACAGCATTTCAAACAAGTAATATGAAACGTTTCCATCGACGTGTAAAAATTTACTATATATATATATATATATATATTTTATTTTTTTTTAAAAGGGGAAGTGCCTACTAGGTCAAAAATATCTACAGTGAAAGATGCAAATGTATCACTCTCATTTCACTTTTTTAGTTCCAATTTTATTGCATAAACTCTAAAATAGAAATAAATATCTTAAGTAAGTTGCAACAGGTGGAGAGTAAATAAAATCAATTTCTTCAGACCATCTCACTGCAGTTTTACTGCTGCTTGACAAACATCCATAAAAATACAGAGAAAAGGAGAGAAGTTGACACACTGGGCACTCATTGTGGGTGTAAATATATTGAATTGAGGGTTTTATTTTTATTTTATTTTAGAATATAAAAACACTAATGAGTTTTAAAAACAAGATTTGGGTGCAGAAGCTTGAATTTATTGTGGATTCTCTCTGATCTAATCAGGTATACATGCAGAATTAAATCCCCCAACTAATGTTTACTTAAGTATTCCTTACTGTCTGCACAGTGCAGCTTTGCAGCAGGAAGGTTCTGGGTTTGACTCTCTCTGGGTACTCTGGCTTCCTCCCACAATCAAATGCACGACAGGTTAAAGGTCAAAATTGTCTCTAGGAATGAGAGTTTGCACATGGTTTATCTTATGTGTCGCTGGTTCATCCTATAGTGAGTCTTGTCCAAATGTTGCTTCAAATTAGATATCCAAACAGTCAAAAACCACAGAAAAAAAAAAATCTGACCTTCTTTTCATCAGAATTTGATTAATTTAGATTTAAATTTTTGAGATCAGCAGACACAGGAGAAGTGACTTGACTGACAGATTACTGCATCCTTGGTGCACAAAGGAGCGTAACCGCAGATCCTTACTTTAAACCATCACTGCTCCCAATAAACTCAGTCTGAGTTTACATTCCTTCTGTAACTTGTACAAAATTTTTTAAAAATAAATTCTGTTGCTGCTTTCTGTGCACAAATAGACACTTATTCTACATTCTGAAAAGCCATAGTCAGTTGAAGATTTCTTTGGATTTGAATTTGCTACTTTAATTAGTGGTGCACCGATTGTAGTTTTCTGACAGATCACCTGCCAATTCTGATTTTTTTTTTGTTTAAAATGTTGCTAAATATAGAAAGAAAGTTGCTGAGTTGGCAACTGTTGTCAACTTGAAAGGTGCAGACATGACCTGGTGGATCGACATGTCAGTCTCTCTCATGGCGGCAAAAAACTGTTTTATCAGAATGAAAACGGAAAAACTGAAAATATAAAAACCATGAAATTCAAGCCAGTGATGAGAGCATGCAAACTTGTGGGCGACACCTTCACTGTAAAAAATAATTTTAGTTTTTACAGTGGAAGCACTGGAGAAAAACTCGATGAGGTTCAGTAAAGAATGTGCTAATATGAAGTCATGGCAGCTTTTTAAATGTTATTTAAAAAAATACAGATAAAGGACAACTATAAAAAATAAGCTTAATATAGATACAGCTAGTTGTTTATTTGGCCTCAAGACAAATTAATATTTTCTCATTATTCATCCACTTTGTTACATCATGAAATGTGCAACATATCATGAAAGTTTACAGTGACTTCAAGCTACTTCTTCCAATTCCAGGTTAAAAATATTAATGCATCCTTAAAAACAAACTAAATGCATTTTTAAAAGCCTTTCTTGATCATTTTTCTGTAACAATAATGAAAGTTTCTTTTCAAACTTATTTTTCTCTGATGAATTTCACCGCTCTTTTTAAACATTTCATCTTTGATTTCACTTGAGTTTTTTAATTGTTATTCTCTGTGATTAAATGTGTGTAGCTCTTTGAGATTTGTTAGTGAAAAGTGTTACAAATTAAATTCATTATTAATATGTTGGAGTAGCCATTAGTCTTGATACTTTTGTTCAAATTTATTTGGTCGAGGTGTTGCATGTTTGGATCATCGTGCAGCTAGAAAGATTTTTTTCATTTCTAGACAAATGACATGTCGCCATGGCAACAAGGTATTGTTTTTGCAGCTGTAAAAGCTCAAATTATGCCCGAACCGTCGTCTCTCTGCTTAGTTTTCTAACCGTACAGACAGAAACCTTTTTAAAGAGGCGCAGCAAAAGCAAATGAGGTGGATTAGCAGAGCTCCACAGTAAATTATGGAGTCATCCTGGACATGTTACTGTGGAATATCGTCTCTGCTGCCCGGATATTGAGATGTTAGCGTTTCATTACTGTCTTACAGCAACAGTCTTCATTCAGAGGCCTCTTCAGAGTCACCGCATTCCTGACTGCTACTGCCACAGCACCGCCATACACTTTCATGATGAGAAATTAAGTATTTTTGAATTATTTTGTCGTTTCCAGGAGTAAGTCAAGTTTATTAGGTTAAAAGTTGTTACAGTTTTCAGAAAAAAATCAAAACAAGATAGCTGATATTTATTAATTACATATATACTTTGCAATGTTACAGCTTACAGTGTTGATATGTAGATAATTAAGGCGTTGTCACATGCTGTACATGTCCTGTATGGAGCATACAGTACATTCATTATGTGCCAGATAGACCTGATTAGTGTTGGAGGGCAAGAATGGATTTGGAAAGCCATCTTCCACATACTAAAACATAAACATAACAGAAAAAAAAACATCTAAAAGTTTATTTTGTTTGTCAGGAAAGAGCAATATTTAGTGATGTCACTTATATCAGGGGACGAAAATGTAACAGCGACAGCATAAACAGAGTGAGTTTACACTTTTCCATTTTAAAGAGGCTTTTAGTTGTATGGGAGTGCAAGTCTGTCACAACAAAGCATCAATCCGACAAACACTGAGACACTGGGAACAACTGGGTTATAACTGGAGGAATGATCATCACTGGCTTTGATTTTAATTCATCCTCAGCAGACACAAAGGCATAAATAAGTGAAAGTATGTGTAACAACAGAAAAACGGATCACACCAAGTCCTTCTAGACAGCTTTGGAGAGCCCAAAAGCTGCACATTTAGCCGTAATGTAATCATAAAGCATGGAGTGGGTAAAAATGTTTCTTTAACCATCTGGAGCTGGACAAGCTCAGGCCAGCAGACGGGCTGACGTCTTCTGTTTGACTTTAAATATAACGTTTTCTGCCTCACTCCTGGTTATGGAAAACAGACTTCAAATGCATTTTACTTCATACACCTCACATTCTTTGATTTCATACAAAAACAGTAAAATATTCCTAATTCGACTTGCGCGACCTGTTACACTAAGAGCCATATGGATGTCATAATATCAGAGAAAAGTCCTCCAGTGTTTATGTTGCAAAGCATTATGGTTAGTAGTTAGATAAAATGGCTGTGAATGGCTCCAGTCTGCGAGACTACAATGAGATAAATACATCCTCCCCCCCTCCGAGTGCTGTCTCAGACAACTCTGCAGAGATTACTGGACCCGCACGCCAAGATGAAGATGATGACAGAGGTGGGAAGATGAGAGTAGGGGTAAAGTGTGTTGAGTCTGTGCTACAAGTGCCTTTTTAATGCTGGCAGAGCAGCTCCACCTCCTGTAATCAGCTGTTTAAGGTAAACAGACTAACAAGCACAAGGTGGGCGGTCATTGGGAGTAAGGAGAGTTTACGAAAAATGGCTGCTGCACAGACACAGGGGAACAAGTTCAGGTTGCTCCTTTGTGATCAGCTTTATTGTTTTTGAGCATTGGCTGCTTTTCCAAGGTTTAAATGGGTAAGAAATAAACAACATACAGCAGAAGCTGAAGATGTGGTCGGAAATCATTAGAGATGCACCAACAAGTTTGTGGTGGTCGAATTTTCAGTGTGGCTGGTCGGAAGGTCAAAAATCAGACGCGTTTCTGGTCAGTGAACGCACCATAAGTAGTCACTACCAGGTTGTGCCAACAATACATCAGTAAAAGACTCAAAACTAGCTTTTTTCTTTCAGTAATGACTTAAGAGGAAGTACAGATGTAAAAATCTGAAAGGAAATTGTATTTTCTTATTCAGGCTGCAAGATGGCAAGAGAAAGCAAGACTTTAATCACATTAACAGAGGGCTGAAAGGAGTACAGCTAAGTTAACTATTTTCATTGTCAAAGTATAGCAATGCAAAAAGTTGTTTAAAGCTGCAGTATGCAACTTTTATAAGAAATATTTTTTAAATATTTGTTGAAATTGTCGCCATGACGGTATGTTAAGAGACAGATAGTCTGTGAAAAGATCGGTCTCCTCCACCTCGTTCCTGAGCCCCTATTGCTGATTGACAGCGCCAAGACCCGCCTCATGGTTCTGATTGGCTGTTTCTAATTATCACTGGGAAAACACAGATTATCGGTTAAGACATGGAGCCAGTTTTAATAAATATGTTAATATAAAACAACATTTTTTTAAATTAAAGTTACATACTGCAGCTTTAAAGAGAAAAATATTTTCACATCTTTTCATTTAGACTTAGAAAATAAGAGTAAAGATAGGATTTCAACCTGTGATGTTGACAATCTTTTGTGACTTAAATAAGGTTCAACACAGAGACCAATATTTTAGTAATTGTTAATAAAGTCAGCTTAAATAATGACACTGGCTATCCTATCTGCATAAATAATCAACAACTTCTCATGAGAGAAAGGATAGAAAACATTTTAAGCATTGAAGTTCTTAAAAAGAAATCAAAATCCATACTGGCAGAGGGAAAAGTTTACAAAAATCAAAATCCTGCTTGGTGCATCTCTAAAATTAATGACACTTGTCTTCAATCGCGCTCATAAATATTTGATCTTCACATTAATTTATACTGAGGGCTGCAGGTTCAGAGGGAGAATATTTGAGCAACTGTCTGGTAAAAGTTGTAACAGTACTGTTGTGGTAACTCAAGTGGTAATTCTACGTCACCATTGACCCAGAAAGCTTTATGCACATAAAGAGACGGTGGCTACTGCAGCGCGGGATTTGAAATAATTATAGATAACTCTTAAAGGGTTTACCAAGCAAGCGGGTTGAAAAGTCAGCAGGCGGAGATGCAGTTCAGGAGCCTGTGAAACTTTCCGATTGTGGCGCTAAGCAAAGATGAAGTCTGGATTCTCCCCCGTTTACAGCTGGCATTTGTACCTCCAGCGGTTTTAAATCTAGAGTCATTTGAGAAACACGGAGCTGCGGTGACGGGCCTGTAAACGGACTGAAGGTGGACAGAGAGCCGAGCCGGAGGTCAGGCGTTGGAAAGGTCGGCTTTGCTGAGAGCGATGGCCAGCTCCAGATCCTGCTGCTCCTGCAACCGCAGCCGCCTCAGCCGCTCCTGCTCCTCCCGCTCGCTCTCCCGCTTGGCCCACTCCAGCTGCTGGTTCTCACTTCCAAACTGGAGCAGACAAACAAACATTAGATTTGGGAAACAAAAAAAAAAAGAAGAAAAAAACAGAAAAAGGAATGTGGTTGTGGTTTGAGGCTCAGATGTCAACACAGAAACAGACAAATCACTGGACAAAAGCAGACGTTTCTACACAGGCAGAAAGTCAAAAACGACGACGGACTTGTGTGAAACGATCAGCAGCGAATGGCAGCAAATTGACACGAAATTAAGATGAACGTAAAACAAAAGGAGCAGGGATAATTATGCAGTGCTTTGTAGGAGTACTAATAATCGTAAAACTTTATCATTTTGTCACATTAGACCATAAATCAGCTGACATGTGCCATGAAAAGTGTGGCATACATATTTAACACAAAGGCAGCAAAAGACTTGAGACTGGGGGCTTTAACTTCCAGCAGGACAACAATCCCAAACAACCCAGAGTGGCTTAAACTAAAGCAGACTCATGTGTTAGTAATGGCCTAGTTAAAGTCCAGGCCTAAATTAACTTGAGAATCTGCGACACTCTGAGCTTGATCGATTGTGCAGGGAAGAAATGGGCCAAAATGTCGGTCTGTAGATGTAAAAACCCCCAAATGATCTGCAGCAAAAGCTGATTCTACACGTCAACTCAGGGGCACTGGATAAATGCACGCCACACTTTTCAGATTTTTACTTTCGTAATAAAATTCTACGTCACAGTTTTGCCTTTCACTTAAAAAAAAAAAAATCTAATGAAATATTTTAAATTTAAATTCAATTCAAAAATACTTTATTGCTCCCAAAGGAAAATTTAATAAAGATACATTTTGTGGTTATGATGTGACAAAATGTTTAAAAATTAAAGGGTAATTAACACTTTTGCACAGCACTTTATTTTCCTCACAAAAAAAGCAAAAAGCACAACTAGAAGCTAAAAGCAACACTTTTTAAAAGCAACGCTAAGCTAAAGCAAACAAAATGTCAAATTTCTCTTTTTTTGTTTTACTTTGAAGGACATTTATAGAAAATAATTGCCCTCATGATTCACTATATTCAAATTATGCGCTGCGGACGAGTTTCTCACATGCAAAGATTGATCACCACACCTATTTTATTCTCTTTTTTTCAGTCTTACCTTCACCACTTCAGATCCTGGCAGAAAAACAAAACAAATCACATTGCAAAGCTCCTCATAAAAAAAACCCCACAAATCCCTTTTACAACAATCATGCAGGCATGAATGAGAAAAATAAATTCACGTCACATGAAAAGACACAAACAGCAGCCATGCATCATCTCTCCACCGGAGAGCATGCCCGGCCGTCATGAGGAAAGCAGAAGGGGAATATTTTATTGAGTTGAGCTCAGCGCCGAGGCAAATCATCCTCTGACAGCAGATAAGCCTTTGTCTTCAACTTAATGACTTGGAAAATGCTCCTGAAGTGCAGACATGTCTGCCCATCTGGTAGCGGTACGGATTACAAATCACCGCTTCCTGCAGAACATGCAAGCCCGAAAACTAGGGATGCGCTGATTTATCTGTGCCAATTTCCCTAATTTTGGGAAATCGGTCGATTTTTACATGTGAAGCTGATCTTAACCACCGGTTTTATCTGCCTTGGCAAAGGCATTTAAGTCAACTGCCATCTTCTTGCGCTCAGCTATGAGAGGTTTGACTAGTAGATCAGCTCACCAGAAAACACTGGAATGAAATGGCTTAATTACCTCCTTCCTGTGTAGATAAGTTCTCCAGAGCCTTGTTAATGGCCTAATTATTCTATTCAGGTGTGGTGCAGCAGAGGCACATCTAAAAGTTGCAGGGCAGTGGCCCTCCAGGACTGGAGTTTGACAAAAAAGAAATTGGTGTTGACTGAAATCGGAATCGGCAGGTCAGGATTTTTAATAGGCCGGAAATCGATGATCGGCCAGAAAACTGCAATCGGTGCAGCCCTCCCGAAAACATACGACGAGACAAAGATGAAGCTCCAGAACTGTCTGAGTCAGTCATGCAAACATTTGGCTTCCTTGCACCCCAACTGTGAAAAAAGCTCTCAAATGTTGTTAGTCAACAGCCAGCAAACACGTTCGCTGTGAGTATTTGCTTTCCAGTGCAAAGGGACGAAATGCGGCACCAGCAGCATTAGACAACACCTCTGAGACGTCAGCTCTGCAGCTCATGCAGACGACGATGTTTTGTCCATTAAATAAAAAAAAAACAACGATAACTGAGAGTGGACTGAACTTACAGAGCCAAAGTCTGCAAAACCCACAGGACAGTCTTTGGATTCTTTTCTTGACTGTGTCGCAATAAAAGAGTCTCTACTGACACCATGCAGCAGCTCTGACGCGCTCGAACCGAGCAGATCCACTGGAGGAGATAAACATTTAGATGAATAAATACCTAAAATATCTTTCCATCTCATCAGAGCTCCCTTGGGAAAATAAGCTCACACTTAAAAGGAGAATGCGTAATTGTGGGCCGTCTAAATAATTCACAGGAAGCCTAAAGCTTTTGGCCCGCGCCGTTCAGAATCGGCACCCTGGGGAAAGCGATAATGGTTCAAAAAAAAGGTGCTAACCACATTTTTTGAGTAAAGCTTACTGATGCATTGATGCTTCAATGTGCACGGTGCTGCTTTCTGGAACATATGATTGTAAAAAAAAACAGACACACCCTTTTCTACTGTAAGTTGACTACACATTTACAATAATTGCTTTTAACCGGTTCCCATCATCCGCGACTGCCGTCACAGCAAACCTAGAGGGCTTAAGCAAAATATGTAGGAAGACTAACCAAATATTTGCCTAATTAAATCCCTATTACTAAACCAAACTTGTGTCAGGAGTTGTAAACAAATCTTGCAACATAAGTGCAGACAAACAACTAAATTGCAGCCTCTCACAGGACCAGGATTAGTTGTGCAACTGTTTCTGCGATGCAGATATTGAGAGCAGCCCACAAATTTAGGAGTGGGCTTCTCACTTCCCTTTTACTCGAGAGGCACGCTGTGAGAACAAGCTCGCTGGCAAACCGTGGCAACTCATCTCAACGCTGTTCTGTGTGGTGAAGCAAAGGGGAACACCAGCTTTCTCAGGCTGCGGCTTCTGCTTAAAGAATAAGTGCAAGGTCACACCGGAAGGGCATGGCCTGGGAATGGCTTGTAGGTGTTGTGTGACTTCACATGCACTGAAAAAGCAAGATAAACACCAGGCTCTGAGTGCAGAAAGAAAATAGAAAAAGTAGCACTCGCTGTCATCCAACAGAGGAGAATTTGACTTAACCAGCATCGGTTATTATAGTAATAGGGGGGGAGGGGAGAAAAAAAAAATCAAAAACGTGTCCTATTAATATCAGCATGATGGGAACGTGTCATATGGAGGTTCACATGTGCTTTCACCTCTTACTATTCACATATCTCTGCCAGCAGCTTTCCTGTTGACAATATCAAAACAAGAAATTACTATCTCTGCAATCGCATACCTTACTGAGGAAGCAGCTTTCTAGCATGTATTTAGGCCATAAAAAGTTTATGAGCCCACAAAAAAAGAAAGAAAGAAAAAAAAAAAAACAGTAACAAGTGGAGCGCTTAAAATAGTTTTTTTTTTTTTTTTTTTTTTTTGAAAGCCCTGGGGGTGATGGGAAAAAAGCAAACTCATCTTTAAATTTAGAAAAGTTTAATTTGATGTTTAGTTACAGTGATGTAACTAAAGCTTTTTTAAATTTATTTATACTTGATTTTATCTTTACATTATAGCTTGTAATTAGTAATTAAGGACTTTTTGTTGTAGAAATACAAACACAGAATCCCACATTTTTCTACATTTATTTATTTTAATTTACCCTTTTTTAATAATCAAGTTTCATCCAACCTCAATCTATATTTTTATGTCCCCTGATGCCTTCATGGTGTTTTTGATCAGCAAATATTTTGTGTAGGTTCAAATTTTCTCACTAATTTTGATTTTTTCATGAATCTATTTTCATGTTTTAATAATTCCTCCAGTTGTTGTTCCATTACATAAAGTTCAGTTAAAATTGTTTTCCCCTTGGTTTGAATGAAGCACTTTGTGCTACATCTCTCCCGGTACAAAAAGTGGTCTGAAAAAGATGATTAATTAATTGACTGACAAACAAAGATCAATATTTATCTTGCTAGTTCACACAGTGAAGATGATGAAAGGAGAAAACCTCAAACTAAAAACTAGAGAACTGCAGCAGAGCCTCGTCTAAGGCTCTATTAGATTACAAATAAAAGTTCACTGGTTGTTTGGGAGACATGAAAGGAAAAAAGAAAATCACTTCCTGTCGTACCATCACAAACGCAAACATGTGGATTTTTAGCAAACACTGCAGGTGAAACAAAAAAAGCTTCTCTGGTCACTGTTAAGTACAGAGGAAGATCTGTGATGCAAGTTGAAAACAGCGTCTCAAATCTGCACTTTTCAGAATGTTTTTACTGTTATTGTACAGAAGCAACAAAAGCATTCTGAAAAAGTACTGACTTAAGATGCTATTTTTAACTTGATTAAGCCAGTAAGTAATCATCGTAAGCGATGTGGCATGTGACTTCAGGTTTTCATCGTAGGGGTGCTGAACCAGTCGATCTCAGGAAGGTTTTGAGTCGATATCTGCAGCTTCGTCTTCGGGGGACGAACTGAATGCCGCGACGACGCTGAAACAAATGTGTCCCTCTGGTTTGACGCGCAAATCGAAAATATTCACCAAGATCCGAAATGTTTATAACTTTATTAATAACACCACCAAAAAAAGAAGCTCAACAAAAAAAGTTCAAATTAATGACCAACAGAAAAAAAAAAAAAATCATCGCAGTAATCATTGCTTCGCTTTGGGCGATTACTTATTTGTAACCACGAAAACAACATCAGGCCTGAAAACATAATATCGTTACGGACTAAATATGCTCGTAACATAACCTCTGCAGTCAGTCGGTTGCCACGGCAACGGGCACACAGAGCCAACATGGAGAGACTAAAAATAAAAATAATACAAGTCGTTCACCAGTTTGGCTTTATTTTCCTTTTGTTGTAATTTACGAAAGTTACGGCTTAATACATTTTAGCATCAGCTGCAGAAAATGATGGCATATTTAAGACTTTTTAAAACAGCCTTAAGTATGCCTAAAGTTAAGATTCTTAAAATTTTTTTAGAGCCTTGAAGAAAAGCTGAATGACAATCTACAATTAATCACGTGATAAATTAAAACGAGCCTGAAAATTTCCATTTGGATGATTGTCTTTCTCGTGTCTTTCTTCTTACCACGGACTGCATGACTAAAAGCTTCAGTCTGGTCACAATTAGCCTGTTTAAAGAAGTATAATTTTGTTTACAGAGTTTCCATTGTATGCGTTGTCTCAGTTGTTTTATTTATTTTAGATATTTAAAATGTCTTCCAGTTCCAGTGTTAAATGTTAAAAATTAAAGCTTATCGAAAGTCTGTACTTGCATTGTTACTTAAAAAAGTTTATAAAAATAAATTCTGGGACAGTTTATCATCCAGAAGAATTTGTTATTGTGCTAAAAAACAACAACATTGGGTTGTACAAAATATTAACCACATTGGTGGCAATAAATTTGTATATTTTGACAAAGACTGATGTCGTAAAATGTTACTGAAGAGTGTTGAATGCCACTTGTGAAGAGCACTAACCTGTTAATGTGCAAAATAAACTGCAAACGTTAACACACAGAAAGAGAGGAACTTGAAATGAGGGATTACCGTAGGGAGGCGCGGGCCGGTTAGGCACATTCTTCTTAGGAGGGTCAGGCTTCTGCTCATGTGAGGAATAATAAAAAAGAGAACAGAAAGAAAAACAGTCAACAATTTTACAAAGCTATGAACACAGCAGATTTTTAAAGGCACCAGAGATCGGTCAAGGTGAAAGTAAAGGCTGAAAAGCACAAGATCCAGTGGAAAACTGCTTTATGGTGCAAGTGATTCATGAGTACAAGAGCTCACCTTTGACATGTGACTGAAGTCAGCAAATCCGCCGCCTTTGCCGCCAAAAGAACTGCTTCCAAACGGGTCCGCTTTTCCAAACAAGTCTGCAACAAAAGTTCATTTAAATGCATCTGGATTATTTGGTTGCAGACACAGAAAGAGCCAGAAATCATAAAGTTTGGCCCTAAAAACCACATGTCAAATTTATCTCCAAATGTTGCTTATTCTAAAGAGTTAGAGGGGGTTTTGTGTTATTTAGAGCAGAGAATGTGGCATGACCGTTTAATTTTCCATGAGATTTTCTGTGTAGACCTGTAAAAGCTGTGTTTTATTTTTTGTTCAACCTGATCGGCTAATTAAAGGCGTCAGTCCAGAACTGAGCTGGAGCTGTTTTGACGCCACTTAATTAAAAAGAAAAAACAACAACAAAAAAAAACGTAACAAACTGCAGATGCTTGGAGCGGAAAAAAAAAACAAAAAAACAACTAAAAACCCAAAAAAAAAAAACGTTGCAACACAATACATTTGTTGTGTGAGCCTCAACCACAGAAGGGCCCATTCACGTGTGGCAGCGCGGCGTTTTCCTTTACGCGATGCGGTGACTCGGCTCAGGTCGACAGTCGCCTCTGTGTTCCTCTGAAGAGCGCGTGCAGCGCGCAGAGAGCGCCGACCTGCAGCGGCCACCAACAAACTTGAAACAACTTCCTCAGCGAACGAGGCCTGGCACTTCAATGGCAGCAGATACGCAGGGAGGACAGAGGAGCGCGTAAAGGAGTGGCAGTGTGTTCTGGGAGTGAAGGAGCAGCAGTCACAGAGTTTCTGTTTTGTTTGGCTCCTGCTGGCCTCCTGTTTTTCCAGGGTGAGTGGGGGGAGAGAGAGTATTTTCAGTCGGCCAGTAGTTAAATGCGAAGGTGCTCGGCTAAAAATAACCCGAGACCAGAGGAAAAACTGAAGCCACAGAGAGTAAAAATTGTTTGCCCCCTTTTGCCCCACCATCCAAAAATAAAACCTGAATCTAACACGTCACCCGGAGCGGCTAAGAATGAGTCTTTTGACCGGACATCTCTCAGGTCCACAAGTCCGGTAACAGAGTCACTTTCTGGGAAAACTAAAGGAAAAATCCGCTTCTTTGAGCAAAGGGATGAATGTGTTGCACTTTTATCTGACGTCAGCAGCTTCTTCGTAAGTGGATTGTAAAAAACACCTGAAGTTTTCCACACTACAACAAACTTCAGTGTATTTTATAGACTTTTTATATGAAAGACCAACTCAGAGTAGTGAAGTGGAAGAAAAATAATGAAATTGTAAATTTTACTAGTAATTTATTGCCACATCCTGCAGATTTTACAGCTAACCATGTAATAAAATATTAAAAATACAAACAAATTAAATGCTTTTTTAAATAAAAAAAGAGACATTTTATTGCCTAAATGGAAGTAACAGAGCAATGCCTTATCATGTGTAGCAAAGCTAAAAAACAAAACTAAAAAAACTTCCAACAAAAGAAATTTGCTTGGAGTCTAGACAAATTTTATTGAGCATGACTGAGGACAAAAATTATTGCTCTCTGACCCGACCTGACAGGTTTGGCAGGAAGAGCATTAATCAGAGAATCAGACAAAACTCATTTAACAACTGCAGGAAATGAAGATCTGAAGATCTGGTGGGAAAATTTCAGGTTTAGTTGAAACTTTTCTTTGTGTTGTTGTTATTTCACTCGCAGCGATGGTGGTTGGGCACGTCAGGAACCACACAGGTGTGTCCACAGGTGACGCTGTGGATCTAAGTGTGTGTGGGTGACGAGGTCAGCTCATGGTTTTTACCGCTTCCCACGCCATGACAGAAAGATTTCACCTTTGGTTACCTTCTGAATATCTGATATATCGTCACAACATTTATCTAAAAATCATTAAACTTGTATCAGATCAATAAATAAATGGGATTTTGCACAAACAAAAAGGATCCAACCTGAGTGAAGTTGGCCCTCCACCTCCTCCAAATCAGACAAAAATGGCGTAAAATGTTCTGCGCAGCAAAACATTTTGTTTTTTTCTTAAAGATAAGAAATCTTTCCAGAGGTCATGAAAGGTCAACAAGCCCCTCCCACCTTCTCCAAATCACATAATAATATTGTCTGAATTAAAAATTGTGCTACGTTTGTGCAGCAAATATTTTCGTTTGTGCCTCTATAATTTTGAAGGTATTAAGAAATCTTTCCAGAGGTCATGAAAGGTCAACAAGCTCCCCTCCCACCTTCTTCAAATCAGACAAAATTGATGTAAATCAACTCTACTGCGTTTGTGCAGCAATATTTTTTGTTTGTGCTGCTTTGCCTTTGAAGATATTAATGACGTTTTTAAGATCATTTTGACTTTGTAAAAGTGATGGTGCTGGTTGACCTTTTGACCTTTAAACTTTCATTAATATCTTCAAGGCCAATGCAGCACAAGCCAAACTTTTTTTCTGCACAAACGTAGGCGAGTTGATCGACATCAATTTTGTCTGATTTAAAGAAAGTGGGAGTGGAGGCTGGTTGACCTTTCATGACCTCTGGAAACATTTCTTAATATCTTTTAAAATGACGGTGGCAAAGGTTTATATCAAAGCATATTCATGTGTTCAGACGGCCTAGTCGAAGTCAAAGATCCAACTTGAGTCGGATTGACCTTCGTTTCGAAATAATTTGGCAAAAACTAGAATAATTCCAGAAACACAAAAATTCCCAGCAAAGTTGAGAATTCAGAGAATTAATTCAGTGGCTCTGAATTCAGATCAAGGCAGACTTTTGAATATTTTTGATAAAATATACGTGAAATATACCGCTATTTTGATTTTCATAATGTTTTACGTATAAAAAAGTGGAGATGCAATAAGTTTCTGTATTAGATTTGCCTCATTTTAGCTTTTTTATTTATTTTCTCAGCATGCTGGGTTTTTTTTTTTTACTTGTGTATGGAAAGGTAAAAAAAAAAAAACATGGACCACTTGCAATCCTCACAGTTATGAACAGCTTTGTGCAATGTTTTAAATGTTCAATCAGAAAAATCACGATAAAATACATTGAAGATTGTGGTGACAAAGAGTGAAGACCTTTAACCTTTGCTAGGTGCTGTACAACCTACATAAAACTAAAAATAAAAACATTTTGTTTTTAATTGGTTCTGCATTTAGCCTGTTAAAAACAACTCTGCATATTTAACTAGGCAGTAAATATGAAGACACAAAGAAAATATCTGCACAAGCAGCCTACCTGAATCCTTTGATTGAGAGCTGTTTGATGCGAAGGGGTCGCCACTCCCAAAGGCGCTCGGCTGAAAAAACATCAAGAATATAATGAAACAGAGAATTAAGAGACTATTTAGCTTGCGGTTCCCTCCGACATTCAAAATCAAGCTGCATGCAAAGGGAACATTAATTAGCACTAAAATGAAAAACAAAAACAAAGAGTCGCACCTTGGCTGGCGGTGTGGGTTTTCTACTGAAAGGATCTCCGGAGCCAAACAAGTCCGTCTTGTTGGATCTCTTGAAAAAGTCGTCAGATGAGGTTCCCTTGAAGGGATCGTTTTCTTTGAAAGGATCTTCTCCGAATGGATCTGGGAGAAAAGAGAAATGAAATAAATCAACATAAATTACCAATAAACGATAACAATCAACGTCTGAAAGCATGAAGACACGAATGAATAACAGCAAGATGATGTCCTGACCTTTCAAGAGGTCAGATTTGAAGGGGTCTTCTACTTGGAAGGGGTCTGCAGGGAGCTCCTTTTTACTGCCGTTGTTGAACATGGCTATCCTCGACTTGAAAGAGTCATCCTGACAAACAGAAATTCATTCATTCATAAACAATGAAAGGAAAATAAAAATAAAAAAAAAGTTACAAAAAGACAGAAATTAGTGCCGGTCTTTTGATGGGCCAAAAAGCCTTAATTTCTCCGTGTATTTCACAAAATATCAATTATCTAAAAGTGGATTTGGTTGACAGGCACAAGTGAAAACATAAATTAAGAAAACTGAAAAGGATACAGTCATTTTTATTTTTATTTAAGAAGGCCTGCCAAACTCAGAGAGTTTGGTCTCGTTATTGAAGATAAATCATCAAAATACCAGTGGAAACATTGTAAAAACATTGTTGCTGAAACAATGTCACCAAAAACGGTTCCATTCATTGTCAAGAGGGGAATAAATAACTTTTGTTCATGCTGTTTTTATTAATATGTAAAAATTGAACTGAAACTCTTTTTACATGTATAATTTTTGGAGCAATGCCTCATTTTCTAGCAGACAGGCTGAAAGGAAGAAAGCTAAATATTATTATTTATACTTAAACAATAAGCTTTTGGTTTGTAAATCATTTTTTAAAAATCATATATTTTTTGATCAAATATTAAGAATTTAATCTGTTGTATGAGATGTCTTATACAAAGTTTCAGCTGACTTTTCAAACAGACTGAATGTCTTTTTGTGACGTTTTGCAGTTTTATTCAACAAAATGGCACAGAAGAGTAAATCTGGAAGTGTTTTTCTCAGCTTGTTTTTCTTCTGGGTGACTAAAAATGTCAAACTGGACGATTGGGAACGGACTGAAGAAATTTCTGGGCTCTAAATGGGCTTTTATGAGAGGAGCTGGGAGAAATAATCTAATTTATTTCTCGGTTCCTTACCGAACTCCTGAATCCTCCATTCTCCCTCTCAGTGAAACCTTCGCTCAGATCGGGCAGGTTGCTGAAGTTCCCCCTGTTGATCTCGCTCAGAGCGCTGTTGTACTGCTCAATAGTTTGGGTCAGTTCCTTCTGCGTGTCCTGGATCAGTGACAGCTTACTGCGAGCCTGCAAACAAAACATTTCAGTTCAGAAAATACATCTGCCTTACTGGTGTTATTATGCTTCTAATTTTTACTCTTATCTGCAAAATAAATTCTCATGTATTGGGTTGCTACTTTCACTTAAAATTGAAAACATGCATATTTGAAGTCAGAGTTTACATTTAGGGACTTGTGTTTGCAGAACTACAACTTCTGACTCTGGAAAGAGGAATGCATGAGATCTGCAAACTAAAACTGAAGCCTTGGTTAGTGGTTAAACTGATAAGGGAAATAACCGAAACCACTGAGTTGTAACATTTCTACACTGAGCACCAAATGCATTCAGAGTGTGTGGTACTTTAAGAAAATGCATTAAAATCCTCAAACCTCAATCTAATCTCTAACTTTAATTGTCTTCAGCCGTTTGCCTGACCTGGTTGATCTCGTCCTGCGTGGTTTGCAGCGACTTCACGATGCTGTCCAGCTGAACACGGCCGGTCACCAGCCTCTCCTCCAGCTGGGCCTCCTCCTCCTGCAGCCGGCTCAGGTCCGCCTTGGTGCGGCTCAGCTCGTCCTCCTGGCTGCGGACGTGGGTCTCCTGAGAGCGGATCTGACTTTGCAAAGAAGAAATCTGCAGAGCGAACACAAAACACGAAGATAAAGTTAATACGTTTACGTTTACAGATTACAGTCTTTCATTAAAACTAAAAACTTTGAGAATCCCATCCTGGATCATCTAAATTCATCGCAAGAACAAATCACAGACTCAAGATTTGACAAATTGAATAAACTTTCAAGCAATTTTGAATCTACAAATATGAAATTGTTGTGGCAAAAAGATTTGGGACTAAATATAGGAAGGGAGTAGCAGGTAGGGATTTTCACAGATTGCAGATTAAGGTTGGACTGATTACAGCCTCTAGGATGATTTTGAAACATTGGAAATCAATCCTATTCCTCCCAAGATGAAAGAATGGACAGATGCAATGGTGGAGATTTCATCTCATCAGTCCATGCTGCATAAACTGGAGGAGAAGGAAACCCCTGGGACATGGTTTGGACTAATAGAGGATGTTATGCCTTAACAAGTATAGACAATATTGTAAACACATTGTCAGTATAATATGTACAATATACTGAAATTAGTGTCAATTGCCCTATATCGACCAGATAACGAAGGGGTGTGCATAAGACTGACGTAGACATGAACAACTCTTCATAAATGCTTACGACTGTTGTCATGAATTGTCTTTAGGTAAATAATGACACTTTTAATGCAAAGTTGCACAAAAAGTTGTATTAAAAGTTTATTAAAAGTGTCAATCTTGCATTGTTAAGTAAACAATTAAACATTTAATGCAAAATAACATAAAAAAAATTGCATTACAAGTTAATTAAAAGTGTCACCTTTGTATTAAAAGTGTCATTATTTACCTAATGACTTCATGACAACAGTCAAACATTCATGTGACAGGTGTTATGTCATGTTTACACTTCATAAAGTCTTACCGGTTTATGTTTACATTTTTGTTTGTTCTGTTTAAAAGTGAAAAACATTAATAGCATGTTTAAGGCCCGTTTTAAAAAGTCCCGTCTCTGACCTGCTGAGACTCCTCCTGGCATTTCTGCTTCAGTTCGTTGAGCATCCCCTCCAGCTTGGCGCGCTGCTGGTCCATCTCGTCCAGCCGTCCCTGAGCGTCCTGCTTCTGGGACGTCAGGCTGTGCAGGCTGCTGCTCTCCCTGTCCAAGTCGAGCTGAATGTCCTGAGTTTCACCAAAACACACAGAGGTCGGCTATGAACTACCATCCTGACTGACGGACTTTTGATCAAAAACATTACTGATCCTTTGCAACTAAGTCACTTTATCATCTGCAGTGCCAAGACGGACGTCGGAAATGAGGATCGGGAGCATTGAACTGAGCGGCTGAAGTTATTTTATTAAGTTGTTTTTGTCAGTTTACTCATGATTTCTTCTTGTTCGAGTCGAGCTGATTTGTCTTTGAACGCATCACACCTGGTTGGGGCTCATAGACGGCGGGATTTACTGAAGTTTGAAACAGCTAGAGTAGAAATCGACCCCAAACCTCCTACCTGCTGATGTGTTGATCAAATTACCGACTTTGCCTGAATTCACACCACATGATTTATGTCATAAAGGGCGTCTCCCCTTAAATCGGAGCAGCATTAAAAACGTACAGAACAAGACCAGTTTTTCTCCATACATGCTAGGCTACATGGCGGTGGGGCATTGTTTCCATGGTGACTGACGGTTAAACACACCTTCCCCATAATGCAATATTTTAAAGCATAGGAACGTTAGATTAAAATCTTCTAATTTACTGAGACGAACCTGTAAACATTTTAGCTTCACCTTACCTGAACGTCACTGTTTTTCTGTCTTATGGTTTCCTCTGTTTGCATAATCTCTTGCTCCAGGAAAAACTTCTCTCTATCAATGACAAAAAAAAGAAAAGAGGTAAACAAAGGCAGGAGACTAACATCTGTAAGTGTGTTGAAAGATTTGTGTTTTTAGCAAACTTTGGAAAAAGCAGTGATTGATGGCATTCTGTGAGAACAAGAACTTCTTTAACCATTAATTAAGTGTTATAAAGTGATTTTGTTTCATTTCTTCAGTAAAACTGGTGGTGTTAAAGTGAAAACGATCTGATCTCCAGCATTTCTTAACTTCAATTTTCTCTCGTTTTTCCCTCAGAGGAAGGGAATCAAAGCGATCCCGCTGCTACTCGGGGTGCAGGCGCTCACCTCTGCAGCTGAGCTATTTCCTGGCTGAGGTCATCCAGCTCTTTGTTGCCTGTGAGCTCAACTGACCCAACGGAGCTGGTGCTGTCCTGAGGGGAGAGACATCGAGACAGACGTTTAAGAGAAGCAGGAGGGGAACAAAAAAAGAAAAAGAAAAGAGGGGAGATGACAAGCTGGACAACACCAGGAGGGGGAACGCGTACTGGATGACACAGACGTAATTAAAGACATGAAGGAGTGATTCTGACACACATGATGGAGGATGAAAAGTGGGGCACAAAGTAAAACAAGGGACGTGAGCAGAATAAAGGCGGAGAGAAAAGCTCCCCGCTGGTATTTCTAAGAAAACAAAAGTCACAGGAAGGAAACAGAAAGCTCTCTCTCAGCTTGGAGGGAGCGTGAGAGGCAGACAATACATGAATGGAGAGAAATGCATGCAGAGGATTTCATGGGCTGATTGTACGCTTCAAGTTTTTAAAACGTAACAAAATTTCACATCACACTGTTCTGGAACAGAGGGCTGCACAGTGGTGTAGTTAGCAGCGCTGCAGCAAAAAGAAAAGTTTGAATCCCGGCCTGGAGTGTGAGATTAGCTACTCATCCTGCACATCCTGACAGTTTCCATTGGCTTCAAAATTACACAATTTGGAATTAGGAAAATAAATCTGGCAATTTTGAAAAATAAAAAATAATGTTTGAGATGGTTTTTCAAAGTGCAGTGCATCAGATGCTTATTTGTAGCCATTAGCCTCCTCAGACAATGCACTGCTGGCTCCACCAGAGCTCCAACAGCGTCACACAGTTTCATCAAAAGTGGAGTTTGTCATTTGAAAGTGTTGAATCTAACTTACTTCTGTGAAGTCTCTGACTACAATTGCCCAAAAACACAGCATAAAAGATGCAGACGTTTCCAGCTTTAGCCCTCTAACACATCGTTCTGCACGCTGTACTGTGAAACACAAACAACTTGCACTCTTCAGTTTATAATTTACCAGAAATCTCAAAGAACCCAGACTGAAAATTGAGAGGTTTTCCTAAAACTTTTCATTTACAAGCACCAGCAGCAAGGAGAGGGAAACATCTCCTCTCAAATAGCACCTTTACAACAAGCATAGAAAAGTGAGTTTTGAAGCAGAATTCATTGATAAGTAGTATTTTTGGGTTCAAAGATATTTTCCAGTTGATACCATCGACACACAAATTTATAGACCAACTACAGTCATGTTTTTGATCTGTGGGAGGAAGCAGAAAGAGCCCAGGCTGGGGTTCAAACCCAAGAACTTCTTGCTGCAAAGCAACAACAACGTTGCCCGCAATCACACAAAAAAAATCAAAATATATTCTTTGCTTTTACAACAACGATATGATAATTTCTTCTGTGAAAACTGTGAAAAGGTTAAACAGACAGAAATGGAAACGAGTCATGCTACTATTAAAAACAAACACACACACACACTCAAAACGAAACGTACTACAAAGAAAGGCACCAAAGAAACCATCTGGTCTAGCAGGTGGCCTGACTCTGAAAGCACAGCTGGATGCTCCTTTACTCACACGAGTGAAAGAGCAACAGCACCACCTAGTGGCGTTGTGCTGAAATACTCACTCTGCGCATACTAGCTGTGGAAACCAGGTCTGCTCTCACAGAAGGAAGAATCCCCATAAAGCTCTGACAGACAGGATAGAAAAGGACTCAAAGGCACAAGCATTATCAGACTGTCGGCACTGAAGGCCTGCAGGGCAGCAAGGAAGAGCTCAGCATTTAAAATTACTTAGATTAAATGTATAGTTGCCATGTTTCAACCACAAACTTCGACGTGTTTTGAGTTTTAATGTAATAAACCAAAAGAAAGATGTACATAATTACGTAGGGGAAAGAAAACGATGGATGCTCAAATAAAATCTGGAAAGTGTGGCATGCATCTACATTTTAAGCCTGTTGCAATAAGCGACAAGTTAATTAATGGCATGATAAATAAAATGAGCTAAATAATTTCCATTCTTGTTAAGATTTTGTTTACAGAGACATCAAAAAACATTTTATGTTTTATTTCAGTTTTATTTGCTTGGTTTTGGTGGTTGTGTTTTATTTCTATATCTTCCTCTTACTAAATTCACAAAAGGTTTCTTGGTGTTTGAGGCAAAAATTAACATGTTGAATTTTTCTAAAGTTTTTCTGTTATATTGGGGGGGTTTTTGTCTCAAAAACAATATTATCGTTTGTTGAAATAATTACTGGGACAATTTATTGTCCAGCAATAATTTGTTATGGTGAGAGGCCTCTTATTTTGTACATCTGTTAGTCTAGAGACTGACACTTTTATCCAGTTTTCCATCACTCGGATTTACCGTCGGAAGAGCAATTTTGATCTCTGCTGCTTATTTTCAATTCTGGACTTTGACTGGGCCATTCTATCACAAAGACAAACTCTAAACTTCCTTTCTCTTTAGTTCTGGCTGCATGTTTTGTTAGTTTTTTACGTGCTGCTGGAAGCTGAACTGTCGCCATAGTCTCACATCTTTAGCAGTTTATCGTTGAGGATTGCCGTGTTTTTAGCTCCATCCATCTTCAAAATCTTAAGATTAAAATAAATGTAATTTTTGTTACAGGTTTTCACTACTGTTGACTATGTGATGCATTTATGATGTTTTTATGTTTTCATAATGTGAAGCACTTTGAACAGCAACATATTTCAGTGTTGTTTAAATATGCTATTCAAATAAACTTGATTGATTGTGACGGATACAACTAATCTGTCCTGTTTACAGATTCTCTCACCTCAGAGGTGGAACTGTGCAGCTCTTCTGGTTAATGCTGTCCCGTAATTCTACTTTCTACCATAATCCTGCTTTAAACTTCTGCACAAAGTGACCCCTAACCTTTCTGCTGCTCCTTGGTCTTCATGAAGCTGGTTGTTCTCTAATAGACTTTTGAGAAACTGGGATTAAACTCCACAAATCTGGACTCTTTATTAATTAGAAGGGATCTGAGGTATATCGTCATTAAAATTTTGCAAAGCATGCATAACTTTCATTTCTATGAGGGGCCGTT